GCTTCTTCTTAGCTTCACTACTACAGGCGCACACAGCTTGAGACTGTAATGACAATGTTGCTCTTCTTGTTGGTGAGCTGTTTCCCTTTCTTTCTGGTGGGTGAAAGGTCTATCCATAAGGTCTTAACCATTTCTTCTCCAGTGGGGCAGAAGTTGGAACATGGAAACAAGAAAACAAAAACTAAAAAAAAAAAATCTTTGGTTATTAAATTGGAAATGTGAGGGAGCTTCCTATATAAACTATGTGTCCTGTGTGGGGTGAAGCTAGTTATGATTACTGAAACTTGCTCCAACACATGACATGAAAGAGACAGGAAAAGGCTCATCCTTCACGGCGATGATTCCATTATTTTTAACTCATTTTTTTGTTTTGAAGAACACAATAAAATACGCTTCTTGTCTTGGCTTGGCTTTGGCTTGCTTGAACAAGGGTTAAAAATGATAAGTGCATTAATAATTCCGACAGTTGGGTTTGAAAAATGCAATAAAGTATGGCCATGGGAGCCGTGCAAGCAACGGATCAGTCAATGATGGTCTCCTAATTTAGGTAATCAAGGACAAGAATATCCTCTCGTTCTTTTGCTTAAAAAATCCGACCTCGTTATCCTTTCAAGAAAGAGAATATAGGTAGCAATATTAATTTAGCTATCGTTAATTTACCATTTGCTGAAGACCACAACTTCTAGAAATGAAACTCGAATATTTTGTAGAAGAAAGCAATACATGTTTATCTAGGAAATGGTATAATGTTACGTGTTGATTACCCCACTGTAAAATGTGAACATTGTTCGTTAGGCAAAGTCAATGTCTGTTTCTAAATATAGAACTGTCTTATGGCCCAGTAAACACACAGGACTCCCCCAAGTACACAGGACTCCTCTAAGTAGTTTTAATCTGGTTTGCGAATGCTAGTTTTTCTTTGGAAATCTCCATCGTCAGCACCAAAACGAACAAAAATTAAATTTTGCCTGGTATTGGCAGCCACAGCTTCATGGTGTTAAAAAAGATCGGATATGTTCTGCCTTCAAAGCTGATTACGTAGCGATTAAAGATCAGAGTTTTTAAGTCACAAGGTTAATAAAAAACTCTAATGTTCTATGAAAAGTTTGTAATTCAATAATCCAATCTGAAAAAAATAGTCTACAGGATTATTTAAATATAAAAATCATTTTAATTAGTAAAATTTTAATTAAATTAAAAATTTTAATCTATATATATATATATATATATAAAAACTCAAATACACAATGAAATTAAAAATAATCATGAATAGTAATTTATAGTCATTGAAGACCTTGCTAACTTCAAATAAATAAAGAATTTTAACGTTATAAATAATAAGACCTGTAGCATCTTTTCTTAAAATCCCAATCACATCTAATAAGCAAATAAAACAATATGATAATTTTCATCAAGTTATATGTTTAACACGTCTCAGTTTTTTTGTGGGTTTAACCTTGTCCATATGATTTATAAATATATTCACAACATGTTGAATATTAGTTTTTTTTTATTAGTGAAAGGCTCAACTTTGAGTCAATTTTAAATTCTAGATATAATGTTTCATCATTATAATAAAAATAAATATTAGAAATATTAAAGGTTTTGAAAATACTAATATTGTCATTAATCTTATTTATTATTATGTAAGGACTATATTTATTTTACTACAACTTTTTATACATCCACACATGGAATCTCTCTTTATTTAGAAATATTATCACCTTATATATTTTTTTAAATATCTTAACACGGCGGTATCTATCAGCATCAACTTATTTTTTTTTTTGAATATCTTAACACGACGGCATCTATCAGCAACAACTTGAGCATTTATATTTATATTCTCACCAGGAACATTATATCCAATACTTTTTTAAATTGATATCAAATCAAGCATAAACCTAGGACATTGCAAATATACATTCTTGAATGATAATTTATTAGTGGTACTATGCTTAATAATGTTGTATCAGAATTCTTCTTGTGTAACAGAATAATCCCACCACCTTTTCTTATTAATATAAATGTTTTGAATCAAGTTTTTTATTGTTTAATTTAACGACTCTAATTGTCCATATATTTATGGATGTGTTGTATTATTAAGCTATAATGATGAATCATATATCATACATAAAATTCATAAAAAATAATTAAGGAACTTACTGTCTCAATAAGAAATAATTGTCTTCATCACCTCATATAAACAAACCATCTTTTAAAAGAAAATTCAAGCAATTGTAAAAGCATCATTTGTCTTTATTATGTATGAGGTAAAGCAAGTATAAAATTCTTAGAAAAGTTCTTACATATATTTTTAGAAATAGAAAAAAGTACATATAAACTTGTATTATATGTTTACTCTTTGGTAGTTTGATAAATATAATAATTTTGCATAAACTTAAATTACTAATATTTTGTTTCAAGTGAGACTAATGATATATTCTAGTGATAGCATTGGTAGTCTCTTTTCAACCTAAATGACTAACCAAACTTTTTCCTTTCAAATTCTAAAGCACTTTCTCTCATAATAAAGAACAAGGAATGCAAAGTTGATTATCTCTTATAAAGAATTCATCGTAAATGTAAAAGTTGCCAATGACAAATCTTGATTTTAACACTTATTTGGAAGCTTACAAAAATCATCATCATGCCCATACAACTCTTTTAATATAATTAATTAGTGATCTCTCCTTTTTTAAAGAAACCAATGAGGCTATCCTTCTACTTAAAGCATCAACAATTTTATTATAAACTCTAGTCTCGTACACAATTCTTATTAATAATTGTTATAAGTTATTCATCTCGCATGCATGTTATTATTAATTCTATTTTGACTATATAAAAATTTCAGTCTTATAATCTTAATAAAATATAAATTCCTTACCTATTAGAAAAATTATATAAAACTCCTTTTCATTTGTGGTCCGATTTAATATAAATTCACTTAACATAAATTACTACAAGTCACACCACAACCATAACATTCAACCTCAAAAAGTTTGTTAAAAATTAGAAAAATAAAAAATAGAGTAATGCTTAGTTTTTAATTGTTAAAGGCAAAGCTCTTTCTACCTTTCTTCTCAATTGAACT